AAATCATGGTAGTGGTTTTATATTTACAGAGGCAAATGAATGGTAACACATTATTTATTTGAAAATTGGTCTGTATCAGAAATTATTTTGTCTGAAACAGCAATTACTTGATCAGTTTAGTTGATTGTGTTATTGCACAAGGTACATTTCTGAGAAACCTTTTCAGAGTAGTTATCAGTTATAATAGTATAAAGAGCAGAAATCAAAGAAAGTTTGAGGTTAGCAGAATAATATTAACAGGCAGAGAAAAGAACTATGTGGAGGTCATAGACACATTATAAATGGAATATGCGCAGATATACCACATACCGAAATGTCATCATAATCATCAGCATCTTAGAAGTGGCTCATCAGATTTGTACATGGATCATTATGGTTCTATTTAAAATGTGCTCTCAGTATGCTAATGTAATTTAATCATTTTATAGAATGTAAGAAAATGCTTATATTTTGTGCTTCCTATTGCTTCAATATATATTTACCATCAGCAACATAGGACTAAGTGAGTACAGTGAAAAAAAGTGGAAAAGCCATAACATTCTAAGGAAAGATGCTTGTTGTTTAAATGCAAAGAAATGAAGGAACCACTCAGTGCTCTAAATTACAGTTTTGGGGATTTTAAAATTTTACATTTTGTGTTTACTCTGCCTGTTATGAGCATAAAACACAGCGGATGGGTATCAGCTTATTTGGGTTTTGTTTAACTGCACCACAGAAGGAAACAAAGGTGGGACTCTGCAATCCACAAGCTAGAATTAGCCCATCCAAAAGGGGAACCTGCCACCTCAAAATCCTGTTTGACATATTTTCAGATAATACTTAAAATCAGAGGCAGTCCTAGCCAATTGGGGGCCCTAAGCACACAAATACTGTAAGGTGCCTCCCACCTGGAAATAAACAATAAATTCAGCTTGTTTTTCTTTATTTTCAAAACAGCTTCTCCACATTAATGGCTTGGAAACTACAAAACTGCTGCAATGAATAAGAGGAGAATTGAATTTGAAGAGATTTTCCACCAACAATACTTCCACACAAGATAACTGCAAGATAACTGCATTTTACTTACCATGGAGGAAAATGAACAAAGACAGCAGCTTTTAAGGGGAATTAGAGTTAGGAAAAAAAAAAAGTACAATGAATGTGTGTTATAATATAGACCACGAGTCATCATATGAGTAGTGTTGGAATAAAGCCTTTCTACAGATCAAGTGACTGTATGGCCAGTCTCTCCTCTTTCATCGATTTAATGTTGTAAACATGATTAAACATGATCCATACCTGCATTTGGATCAGAGAAACACATTAATGAACAACCCCCAAACTATTGTCTTTCAGCATATCCCTCCTACTCAGTGACTGATTGCAGAAAAGCATTTAAGAATTTAACCAACATGTTGATTTCAGACCAAGTACCAGTCCTGATGTAATGTGCAGATTCCAAAAACACATCAAGATGCAGAACTTTAACAGATGACATTTACTACCGGTAGTTTTTTAAATGTCATTTTGTAAGAATTTTAATAAAATTTTCTTCATGAATGCTACTGTTAAATTTGGTTATGTCGTTGCTTTTTCCAGTTTAGGTTTGTGCTTATGATGTCAGAAATATGGTAGAAATTCCAGGAGAACTTTCAGCCATGCTTAGCCTTCCTTTCTCCGACATTTTTCCAGTTAAATGTTGTTGACATTGATGTGATGTCAGTGTAGATTTATTTAGGTTGACACAGTCATGCCTTCCTCTGACTTTGAAGCACAGCACTGCTATGTCAGAAATCCCTGGTGTTTTCAGACAGACTAGCAGAAAATAACTGGGCCAAATCACACTTAAAAGTGCTAAGATTTTGTATGTGAATAAAAAAAGGCACATAGGGCTAAAAGCATGGCCAAACAAATTTTTATTTATTTGCAATATCTAGTTACAACTCTGAATTGTAAAAAAGCGCGGAAGATAAAACCAGATTGAACGGTGTTGAATGGAGATTCAAAATAGTGCAGCAGCAGCTTAGGATGTGTCAGTGCCTTTGATGGAAGCCCAGAGAAAGAGACCAGAGATCCTCTATCCAGCTTTATACTCTACTCCACAGCAGCTACACCAGGGGGCAAGGAGGGGGCCAGAGGGTTTTCATGGTGGGCACAGAAAAGGATGAATTAAAAAACAACAGGCCAAGGGATTCAAATATATTAAGATAGCTGCATTCTATTCAGTTAGGTTTAATTTAAATTATATTTCTTATTAGGTCAATATACGTTCATAATAAAGGAATTTTACATATTTTTTGACTGAAGTTAAAATTGCTGTTTTCTATAAAATCTGAATTAGAACTAAAGAAAAACTGATAAGTTCTGCTGTAAAAATTTGAGCAATTTGTTTTGAAAAATAAAATTAGCAGATGAAAACTGGGATCCTATCTCAATACCACTGAAGCTATTACCTTAATTGTTTTTAAACAATTAGTAAAACAGATTTTGTTAAGAAAAATAATTAAATAGATCCAAAGGACCTATCAGTAACCATATTAAAAAGTTTAGATAGTCATGAGCCGACTACTGGTATTAATGTGTACCAAAGTTTTGGAAAGCTTCAGCTTCTAAACTACAAAGACTTTACATCACAACATTTAAAGTCCCATTGTTGAGAGATCAGCAGGGTTCTAGTTTTTTATTTAACTTTAATGGCCCCTCCTTCACCTTAGACTTAGACTGAACTTGATTTTTCCCTAGGAATTACTCCTTCAGGGAAATTCTTGTTCCAGTGGGTTAAATAGAGTACAAAGAGTTAAAGCAAGATGCCATTAAAGATAAACTTACAACAGGCAATATAAAAAAAAGAGTGTATATAGTACAAAAAAGCATTAAAAATGTTGTAATGTCCTAGAATATGATTCCCTCAGATATAAAAATATCTGCACAGTGGAGAGCTAAGGGAATACTACATAGTAGTTGACTTGGATTATTGCACTAGCACTGCAGAAATGCACTGACCTTAAAAAAAGTTTAAAAAAAGGCTACACAGTAGTTGGCATGTGCTATTGCACAGTGAGGAAGTAGAATAGTGAGTACGTGTGACAATAGGTAATGTTTTGCTTAAGATGTCCAAGGAGGGGGGTGCTGACCCTTGTCCCTCTTCCTATCCATCCCTCCTTCCTCCGTGGCCACCTGTTAACTGCTGTGGTTCAGCCAGCCATCTTTGTTGGAGGGACTCATCAAAATTTCTTAAGTGAGGACTAATTCTGCCCTTTGGCTTAAGACATTGCATTAAAATAATAGCATGTGCTGTAAACCGTTATACCTAAGATAAACATTATTACGACTAAGCTGTTGTTGTTCCTCATGCCGCTTGCGGCCCTTTAATAGGTTAACGGATTGGCTCAAACCAAATTTATGCAGGGGGGCAATAGGTGCTCTTCACACATCCAGCTGAACATCCCTCCTTTTCCCATATGGATTTGATTGGAACAGGCACAGGGTAATAATGCGGAGAACTACACATTAGCAGTCTGGCTTACAATCTAGGAAGTGATGATTAAATCAGCCATCATTCATCATTCATCAAAGACAGATTCAAATGGATTTAGAAGTGTATTATTATATTTAATGGTATGTAATATGATAAATATTTAATATTTTCAATTGCTGTACTTTTTTGGCAGTACATTTTATGCCTAAAACTGCATGTGACCTCTGATATCACATTGTCGTCAATGATGAACTTTAGGAGATCATTATATTAAGTAGTGCAATAGTGCTTCTAATAGAGCTGGAACAATAAATCAGATTAATTGTGATAATCGATTATTGAAATAATCAATTAATCGTTAAATTGAATATAGAGACTTATAGCAGATTTATAACTTATAGCAGTAATTATATCAAAGTTGTAAAAAATAAATAAATATTTTGCATTTAAGATTAAAAAGCCCGTAGGTCAATATTCTCTATCCAGAACTCCTCATGAGGAAAAGTTTTAGTTTTATCTGGTTTAATGTTTTAAAAAGTCTTCTTTGAGGAATGTTTTGCTATCTGATTATTAATTGATTAATTGAAAAAAAAAACAATTTGCAAAATAACATTAGTTGCAACCCTAGCTGCCAACAAGCAGGCATGGATTTATAATTTTAAATAAACTGATCCTTAGAGAATTCATGCAATCATAGAACAAAAAACGTTTAAAAAAATGACCAAAATGTAGATCCATAGCATAATGCTTGTTTTTAAAAATGTCTGACTTTGTCACATTATTGTACAATCCATGTTACTGTAGACAAAAAATTACAATAATAAAAACAATGTAAGCAGCCCTTACATTTTTTACATTTCTATAAAATCATCTTCACCCAAACTACATTTCTAAATGTGTCGAGCTGCCATGTTGTAAATGGCGTATTTTCATTAATGAAATATCCAATGACTTTGAATGAATTTCATAGCTAACAGATTTGAGGTTATTTTAATATTTCTTTACCCTTATATTCTCAAAATGTAAGATTTCCCACACTTTCAGCTAAAATTTGGTACCCACAACCACTGAAGTTCATCTTGTCAACCTCAAAGTAATCAATTCTCCTCTGACGTCGTTTGGTTTCAGCGCACTGAGGTTCTTAGACTGAAGATTATGGTTTTAGCAGACTTCACAGTCCTGGTTTAAGATTCATTATATTTGGTCTCATGATCTCAGTTACTGCCCTGAACAATACAAGTAGGTACAGAGTTTGATTGGTTGGAATGTTCAGCTCAGAGTGTTTGATATTTTTAGCTTAAAATAGTTAACCTGAAACAAAAAGCTTTTGTTCTCAAAGCACGTCCACGTCGTACAGCCTGAATACAATGCTGACTTTTACTTGTGACTGAAGCCTGAGGATATTCAGGACAAAACACGGGCAGTTTTTTAGTTTGTGTGTCAGTTTTCTTCTGTACTCCAGGCTTTATTTATTTATTTTTTTTTTTTTCTTTGCTATGGATGAGAAGTGGGTCACATGCTTGAATTATCCATTTGCAGGGTTGCATGCCTGCTGAGGAGAAGCAAAGACATATCTGGAGAATGGAGGACAGAAGCGAGGAGGACTGTGTGCAGGAGAACGGACGAAGTGACACGACAAATGGCAAACCCAGCGGCTCTCCCAGCACCAGTCTGAGGGTACACGTGATAATATATCTTTCAGACACTAGGATTATCGCGCTCCAACTAACACCTTTGGTGTGCTGAGTTAAGCTTTTTTATGGGGTCACATGCTCTTCTAGTAGGTACGCAGCCGTATGTTTATTTTTAACAACAAACCTTGAAACAGCAATTTTACTACATTTAGTCCTCTAAAATCATGATTATCAATAGAATATAATAATAATTTCAATCTGGGTTTCTTATCCCATTCAAATGTAAATGTAAATGAATCACTGCAATGTTTTACACTTTTTGATTTGATCTTAGGCTTTCACTACTAAGAAAAACTGCCTTTGGAGCTTGCAGCATGTCATTACCACAAAGATGGAAACATTTGTTGGCCAGTAAACAACCAGTCATTATTTTCTCAGGGTTCAGTTCTTAAAAACATCCTTGGCAGTAGAGGGAGGACATGTTGTTCAGCATTTGACGCATTAACATTTTTAGAGCTTTATTAACAAATTCATAAATTATGTAGCCACAACTTGCCATTAATCACATTTATATAGCTTTTAAACATTATGTAGTTCTTTTGTTCAAATTATTGTCAAATTATTGCTAGATTTTTAGAGGCTTGCTGTGCTGTGTATGACATTTAAGTCAAATGCATTTTGGTTTGGCTTGAATCTAAGTCTTTTAGTCATTGATGAAATTATTTGTAGGAGAATAACTTTAGTTGTTCATGTTATTTGCTCTTGATGCCATTGTGTAGATTTTCATCACAGTTGTCCTTTCACTAAAACGGTCCTTATGCTTGACCAGCACCAGTTTCTTTGTTTTGTAGAGAAACAAACACAAGCTCCTCTTGGATCAATCAAGATTATTCACCCTCTGTGGTTTCTAAGCATTCAGTTGAGATTGAAGAAACAAAGAAGTGTGGCTTAGTACTTGTAACCTTCACCTGATGTACTCTATTCTTTACCTTTTCTACATCGGATAATGCTGAGCAAAATATAATTCATGTGGACTGTTAAATATCATGAAACACTGCTACACAATACAAAACTTTGCTTCAAGACTAGGGCTGGGCAATTAATTGCATTTGCAATGTAATTGCAATTTAACAAAACACAATTTTCAAATTGTAGAGCCACACTATATTTAAGAGCAAGGCACTAAATTTCTTCCTTCACCAATTTAGAAGGCGTTAAACTACTTGAAGTGGGTTTGTCGCCACACAGAAAGGGAGATAGATTTGCAGCTAGCAATCAGCTCCATGCACACAAATTAGTAAACACTTTTTTACACAAAGATTACAGTAAAGTCCTGCAACGATGGACTCTGCGCAAGCAAGCTTTCAAAAACAGAAAGAATCAGATGAAACATCTACAAGCTTGGGGTTAGAGCAAAGGAAAATTGAAATAAAACTGCAATCTCAATTTTGGTTAATAATAATCGCAATTTAGATTTTAGGCAAAATTGGTTAGCCCTATTCACAACATATTTGTTAAGCAGTAGGTGATTCCCCCTCTTGGCATGGAGCAGGGGTGCAATATTGATAAGAACCACCCCAGACTCACAGCTTGGTCCTGTTATGTGGTAAAGAATAAAGAATCCCTTTTGTTAAAGCTTTATATGTCCTTTGACCAGCAAATTTTTCTAGCTTTGGAGCTGTGGGACAGCAATTCTGTGTCTTTCAGCTGAAACTGCTGTCAATGTTATGGTGCTTTACCCCATTTTTTTTTTCTAAATGCAGAATAAACATGTTTTTTTTATCTGCCTTAGGGTTGGATGATGTTCTTGTTCCGAACCTTGTTTCCAATACTTACTTAAAGGTGTTATTTAGCTGTAGACGATCAAAAATTATGTACGAATATGGCACTGGTTTATCCATGCCAGAGCTAGTACTTGTGCAGGTAGAGCCAAAAAGAGCTGAAGTTCAGCAAAAATGAACACCAGTTTGAGATGTAAAACAGGGGATGAAAACCACACGGTTCCTTCTTATGCCAAGGTTTGACAATCAGCAGGCCTCTTCTCTCCAGCACCCTGGACGAGAAGGACAAGAAGTGTGATCCCCCGATAACTGGAATACCCCCTCTGGTCCCCCTCCTAAAGGAAGGTAACTACCACCCCAGTCTGCCAATGCAGGGGCACTGTTCCGGACTATCTCACAATGTTCAAGTGGTGTGTCAACCACGACAGCCCAATAAAATCCAGAGTTCAAAGGTCGTCATGGCTGATTTTTTTTTGACCACCTCTGTGACTTCCACCTGGTTGATGAACAAGTCCAGCTCCGAGTACCCAATCCCTGCGTAATCCTTAAAAAGTCCAACATTACTTAATTTAAAGTTGGCGGCTCCCCACTCCCACAAAAGGGAATTGGCAAAGCAGTACTATCCCCTCCGGAGGAGCAGAACGGTTTGCCAGAATTGCTTTGTGGCCCATCTACAGTCTTTTTCTGTGGTCTCACAAAACACCCTTTGAGCCCAAACTTTTGCCTCTGCAACTACCTGGACAGCAGCAAATGGGCACATGTTCTCTGCCTCAGGGGTCCCACAATGCAACTAGGGTTAATAGGACTTCTAGTTTAGCGCTGACAGCATCCCTTACTACCTGTGTCCACCACTAGGATTTGTGGGGTTTCCACCAAGTCATTGCTGGCATTAAGCCAGCAGTGTGGACCACTGTTCCCAACTTGCACTGGGAACAGTGCACGTTGGACTCCAGCAGGGCTGCCTAGTTCATAACAGGATTTGAGAGGATTTCAAGGTTTGGCAACCAACAGGATTCGTCCCTGGTTTTGCCATGGTTCCTGACAGGAAAAAAGTGGCTTTCCCCCTTCAGGTTTGAGTAGGTTACTGTCTCAAGTGGGGTTTAATAATCTAGGGCTCATGTTCAAGAGTGAAGAGAATGTAGTTGGAGATCGATGGAGGAGGATGTCCAAGGCATGGTTGGTCTCTCAGCTGGCCTCCAAACACCTCGGGCTTTCCAAAGAGAAGCTGGAGGACGTATCCTGGGAGAAGGAAATCTGTGAGTCTCTGCTGAGACTGCTGACCTCGTGATCTGGATAAGCAGAAGACAGCACGAGTACAATCTTAGATAACTTAAAACATAATTTAATTAATGTAATTCTTTATGTCCAAGCTGCCTCTCAGATTGTGGAGAAACAAGCAGGTTCACATGTAGATTATTGGGATAACTTGCTCTATCACAAGCCCTAATAAACAGAAATGCAATAGAAAAAGTAGAAAAAATAAGTCAGAACTCTTTTACTGTTTCTATTGAACCATTAGATAAAATAATTATGTTGATATCAGAACAGAATATATGGAAATCAAACATCTCTCTTAAAAATAAATCATACTTGATTATCCTACCTAAAATCTAATCTGCTATGGGGACATTTATTATAAAGTTTCTTTAATGTGAATAGATTGGTGCACTGAACTAATCCATAAGAGGATTAGACGTCATAATAGTTTATTTTATTAGAGAGGCAGTGAAGCTGATCAAAATCCTCTGGCGTCTTTGAGTTTTGCCTCAACCCATTCAGAGAATTTCTCAATGACAGCTGAGGAAAGCATGGACATAAAATGTTTACATAGCTTCCCAATCCCCTTTGATCTCTGTCAAATCAAGCTTTTTTTGGAATGTAATGGATGAAACCATGGAGGCCCAGACACTGCACAAGGAATGGCTCTGTCCCTTGGTCAGTCTGTAATATGAGCTGCTTGGTCAGTCATAACGCAGATCTTGCCTTTAAGCCACTTAATGAAAGACACCTTAAAATATCTAACAAAAAATTAAAGCACAAGATCTACATTATAAAGTCCAGTCATTTAAAAAAAAGAGATTAAACAAATTATTCAACTACTATAGTCTCAATTATAATGCTATATACCATAAATAGCTTAAATATTGACCATCTTCTTGGTGGCAGTTTGTGTCTTTAACACAAAATATACTCTTGTTTTGTTTTAGCATCTATTAGCTTTATTTACCTTTCTTATTTCTATAGAACTCTGTAGAACACGATGACAACCTCCCAGTCTACCTCAGGCTATTCCTCGTATTTTCAAACCAAAAGCTTCAAACACTCTTCTAAGGAGGTAAAAAAAAAAAGGCATAGAAAAAGCTTTGAATAAGATCAATCAATCTGGAAGATTTTTTTTTTTCCAAACATGAAAGTGATGTGAGACAATGGTGTTCAAGCAGCTTATCATAATACAGACTGTTGAGGCAGGACAGAGTTATTTCTTCTCAGAATTGTTTGGTTCCCCGAGCGGCTGGGTGGGATATGGCACAGTGTGCTACAACTTTAATCCGGTGCTCAGTGTTATTTTCCGCTTTTGTTAATTCCTCCAAATGGGCTAAAACTGTGGCGCTACAATGTCTCTGTGTTGCCTCATTTTGCTTTGATTTGTTGCAAGGCACAATCTGAGAACTATTTCACTGTTAAAAAGGGATGTATATCATGCATACCTGTAAATGTACTTAGTTTTGTTAGGATTGTCATTGAAAGCCTTAAATTCTGCTTTGTGAGTTCATGACTAAACATTCAGATCTGAAAAAAAATAAAAAATAAGTTGTACCCATGCTTAAACTGGAAAAGTAACATGGGAATATGTATTAAGAATTGCTCCGTTATATATAAAGGATTCATCATAATTCACATTTAACCCTTTTGTCTTGTCTAGGTTCAGGTCACCTAGAATCTCTGTGTCTCTAGACTTTGCATGTTAACACTTGGCTGTCTCCATGCACTCCTCTTAACACTCATGTTTAAGGTAACTGGTAATTACAAACTGGCTGGGTTTGAGCTGTGGTAACCTAAAGTGAACCCTGTGTCATGACTCGACATTCTTTCTTTCTGTGCATTTGTAGTCATTCTCCTGACAGTTATAAAAAAGGGCAGTTTTTTTGTTTTCATTTTATTTATTTTTTTCACATTTAAATGATTAAAAAACAACTGTCCAAATAAGAACTATATATATTAATGATAGTCATGAAAAAGCAATAGCCTTCCTAGGATTGACCACTTCATGATTCACAAACTGCACACAAATTCCAAGATTTTAGTAAAAAGAGAAAAGGTTAAAGGAAAAGGTCAGCTTTGAAAACTACAGATACAAAGAAATAATGTTCATATTAAAACAATGGAAATGGTCTGCCTTATGGCTTTCTTTTACCAATACCTTTAGCCTTCTGATACGGTAACTAAAATTAGGCTAAGAGATAAAAAAAAAAAAAAAAACACAGTTGGCCTTTTATTCTACAAATTCTAAAATAACCTGTAATTTTTTTATTGCAGTCCAGAGTTTGCTGATATTTATTATTACATTTTCAAAAGCATGCATCATATTCCTTCCATTTTGCCCTGATTAAGGACTTGGGGTTTATCTGTCACATCCCAGTCAAATGCATGAAACTTTGTGGTTGTGACATGTAAGGCTGGACAATATGTTTTAAACTTATATTATGATATAGATCTTAATTTTAGTCAATGTGATACAACTTCGACATCAATACAAACAAAATAAAAGCCTCAGAAAAACTGTCAAGAATGGTAACAGCAGAATCCTGTATAAACTTATATTGATTTTAAGGTTTTTAAACTCTTCCAGTAAAATGTTATTAGAAAAAGTTACAAACTTGCATTGAAGTGTATATTGAAATATCTGAAATAAAAATAATCCTATCAATATTGATGCCATGTAGTTAAATTCAATTGCAATGTGATATTGAATCATTGTTCAGCCCTACTGACAACAGTATGTGCTTGTTTTCCCATGACCCACAGTACAGAATAAAGCAATTACTGAACTAAAGGAGAAACAGGGACTCATGCAAACCAAACCATCAACCCAAGTAAATAACATCTCCTTAAATGCTAACTGAAAGGCATAATTTATTGTAATGGTAAATGCTAATTCACCAAATACAGGGTTGTCTGCAAGAAAACAAACCACCTACTCTTTCTCCTGTTAATTAGTTTGCAAGGGAAACAGTACAGGCCATTTTGATTCAGTAGGAGAAAAAAAGGAATGCCTGGAAACAAAAGGGGAAACAAATGTATATGCATGCTTGTTCGGTATTCAACCCCCCAGGAAGTGCACATGACAACTTGCAGTTGTTTAAGCCTCTGAGCCAATTGTGGTGGCCAGCGTGATCTGTTTACACTGATGCGCTCTGTTCCACTTTAATCATGTAAATGAAAGCTATGTATAAGAATGTGCTCAGTTGGGACTCTTTTTCTCTTTCACTGGCTAAAACCCCTGATAGGGTTACATATAAAGGGTTCTGAATATACCAGAACAAGTTCAACAGTGGCTGACTTTTGCTCTTGGTAATATGTTTAACATGGTTACACCAGAACTAACAGTATAGTCATCTGCCTCCAATAGTCACTGAAAGGCCAAACATTGTTTGTTTTCGCTACTTTTGAAATAGTTTTGTAGATAAAACATGTACTTTACAATGATGTACTGTTGTGCAACGGGAAGATCAATTAACTGTATGGTTAGAGCGGGCCTTTCTGACCATGTGTGTAATGTGAATTTCGTGTGCAGGGCTTCTCTTGGACAGTAAATTGAATGGAATACATTGTAAGGGCAATACACAGAGTCATAAAATGTTCTTTTTCCACTAACTCACAAGCAGATGGGCTGAGATTAGAGACAGTCTAAAGATAACATAAAGGTTGTATTGTTCTTTCATCTGGACTCCCTTTTAAAAAGTCAAACATTGTTTTGTTTTTTTCTTCCTAGGGCCATTATTTAAGTGGTGTATCTGTCTGATAAAGGATTTTTTTAAACTGAAAAGTAAACAGACTTTGATAACTAACAAAAAAAGAAGATTATCCTATGAATTTGTTGAATAATAACTTTGGTATTATGCCAATTACTTAGAGGTGAACTCACCAAAAGATTTGGTACAAAATCTTCTATGAACTGATGCCTCGCCTCTATATCCACCATATCCACTTCAGCATCTATTGGATTGGCGGACAGCCATTTTAAAAAAAGCAGAGTCGCATATCAAACCCCAGGATTTATAGGACATAGTTTTTTTTAGGAAGGTGGAGGTAGTTTTAGTCCTATGCTCTGCCGCTATGGCTTTTGACTGATGATTACCTCCCCCCATGTCTTTGTTGTTGTCAAGGTAATTTTTGTTGTGAATGACATCAGGCTGCTTGTTGCCCTCCAGCAAAATAGGGATGATCTGTGGCTAGACTGAGAACAAATGGGCCCTCTTTCATTTTGTGCAAATCCCCACAATGCAACAACATAAAGAGTAGCCAAGAACATCATTGCAATTATTATTATATAAACAGATGTGTCCCAAATTAGTTTTGATGTTGGAGGAGTTTTTTTTTTTTTTTATGCAAAGGAGCTGTGGTGAACTTCTAACCTCCACTGTGATGGTTAAGACTCTCAAAAAAAAGTTAAAACAAACAACTGGACTTTGTTTACAAAGTTTGGAGACCTTTTGCTTCTCCTCCAGGAAGCTTTCTCAAATCAAATTGTCTGGATTAGCTTCAGGCTTTATAGAGTAGCCCAACAAAAGCCTTGTTATTAGAAAACACGCAAATTGAACCAAAAAAACTAACCTCCAGTAGTTTTTGCAGCAGAGTGAGGAGTGTATAACCAGATCTTTACATTTTAGGTTAATAATCAGAAATAAAGGCCTGATCCCCATTTTTGGCTAAAATACAACAGGAGATCCTCCAATTCTGAAAATTCTGAAAACCAAAAGTTATTCTTAATATAGTAGCTACACCTTTCACTGGCAACAAAAGGTAAAGAGAATTGCTTGATACATTTTTCAGTCGTAATAATATAACACTTTATTCGTTTTACTGGTTTAAAAACACAAAACAGTAGTTCAGCACATTGTCTCGGTTTGTTTATATCAATGTAAACCCTTCTCTTATTTCCTTCTCTCTTTCAATTCCCCAGATGTTTCTGGTAGCATTGTCGTTTGCCTATTTTGCTAAGGCTCTGTCGGGGAGCTACATGAAGAGCACAATAACTCAGCTGGAAAGGCGCTTTGACATCCCAAGCTACCTAATAGGAGTCATTGATGGGAGCTTTGAGATCGGTGAGTGGGACTCTCTGTAACTGCCATTATTTTTTCACATTTCACATTTTTTGCTTCCTTGTTCCCCATCTATTCTTCCTTCTGTTTTTGTTCTGTTGAAAAACATGAATGGGTCATTCAGATATTCCGAATGCAGATAAAAGATTAATCAGGTTTCGTAGAAAAAGACACAGGGTTGTGTTGGTTTGTGGTGAGTCATAATCTCGAACAAGGACACAGGCAGTCAGACATCAAAGATGTGGACAGCCATAGCCTAGAATCTGTAATATTACTCCCCCTACATAACTCCCTCATATGTTTTGCTACCCCCCCAATCACTGATGCTATTTGTGGAAACACATCAGCTGACATTTACTAGCTCTGATCTTGACATGTGAATCAGATGCAAGCAACCCTTCTCTCACATTTATCATTTCTCCTCAGGGAACATCCACTGGGCTTATCAAATGAACATAATATCTATAGAGGGCAAAAAAAGGGTACAAATAACACTGGAAAAAGATTAGAGTATCTACACTGAAGGCCATTTTGAACTAATCATAGATTATGTTTTAGTAAACGTTGAGTCACTCTCAAAACAAGGAAATGTTACTCAGATATAAGTGTTGTATGAAATACACTGATCCCCCAGGATCTGAGAAAGTAAGGAGATAAAAAATAACTGTTTTAAAGGGAAACTTGAGAAACATTACATTAGTTTGTATTTATGCAAAGGTAAAAGACAAAAGACTATAAACAATAGTATGAGGGATTTCTACTGCATGAGTATATAGGTATAGGTACAGTTTTTAAGTATAAACAAACAGCAAACTTAAACGTGCCTTGCTTAAGTACATTTCAAATGGCTGTCTCTAGATTGACCTTTGTTTAACAGTAAAGATATTAAATTGAAATACTGAAGAGAATAAAAAAAAATTGATACACAGTTACCAGTAATGAAACAATATGCCAACAAATAAGATAACATATTGTGGCTATGTTTTTTTTTAAATTATTATTATTACATAGATGGCAACTAGTAGCTGGGACCAGAGGGTCACTGTGCCTGCGTTTGAGCCTTGATGTGAAGCATTTAAGAAAAGTTTTGTGAGTTTAATAGGTTTAGGAACATGATAATGATGTGGTAAAAATGCTTTTCCTCTGCAAGGTCTGCTTTGTCCAAATATGTACCCTTCTCAGTGGGTTAATTGCTGTAGGTCTTCATATGAGATAGAGATTAGTAATACTTCCAAAAAAAAAAAAAAAAAAAAAAAAAATTGAGTCCTTAAAAATTCAGTTTTCAGCAGAGTTAGGTGGATAGTCTGTAATTAGTACAAAGGTCTCTAAATCTCCTTTTGCCACTTGTTAAACTGTTTGTTAAACAAGTGGCAAAAGCACACCATAAGGCTACCTGCCAAGGTAATGTTTGTTTTTCTCTAATGTTGGTTGGTTTGTATTTTTACACACCAACGATAGAATTAAAAGTCATCATTAATTTACAAAAAATTATTTCATAATAACTTAATTTACGTATAACCTAAATTAAAACCCGCATGTTTCTAAAGAATACAAGAGCTAACATACTTTTGTTTTGAGACTGTAAAAAGTTGATTTGATTCATTTAAAAATATACCACAAGACATGAATTTCCAAGTCTGTTGCAACATATTCCTAATATCATGACCGTTGTGCTAAAAGTGCTAAGACAACTGTGCAGAAGCAATGCTCCCACCAGTTACAAACTTTATAAATATGAGACTTGCACATGAACCTGAATAAAATTGTACTGTTATGTCAACAAATTGTTAGAGATAAATAGTTTATCCTCTAAACCAACAAAATATATATCATTGAAAGAATTGTATTTTATAATATCTTCAGAGGAATGTCATAGTTAAGAAATATGTTAGTATGTTATAATTATTGGTACTGTTAAGCAGCTGACCTCTTTACTAAAATAATTGTTGAAACATGAGGAAATTGTTTGCTTCCAGCATGCAAAGCCCAATCTTCAGATGTTTGTGGCTGATTGTCAGATTCCAACAGCATAACAACGTTTCAAAAATTTGGTCATAGAACGGTTTGACATAAAACACATATTTTCTGTTAGATTATGCAAGCTGGCAGAATTTACAGACTCCTGAAAAGGTGTGGAAATATCTTCAGGAACACAATTCGAGTTCCCTTTCAGTTTGAGCCTGTTTTGTGGTTGACTGGTATAGTCAAGATTTTTTACACAGGCATGTTTTCACTATTACCATATTTGCTTTTTATATTTAATAGTATTTCAGTCATTTATATACAGATAAAGAAACAGGTTAGAAGTTATGAGTTAAAGAACATGGAAACTCTCAAATTATTTGCCAGCAAAATTTTCATTGAGAACTTGGCAGAAGAATCATTATCCAATCTGTTATTTCTTGCCATTTGTAATTTTTCTAAATAAATATGGGAAATAGAGGTTAGATTTAGGAGTTTGCCCTGCAAATGGAGGGTCATCAGTTCAAGCTCTGGCTTTCTGTGTCAGACTCTACCGATTTTTTAATGCTCTAACTGAGGGAAGGAGGTTGTTCCCCAGAATCTTGCAATACATGATCCCAGTCACACTCTCCTTAATAAAGTTCAGTTGCCCTGTCCCATGTGCAGAAAAACACCCCCAAAGCATGATGCTACCACCCCCTCGCTTCACAGTAGGGATGGCGTTCCTGGGATGGTACTCATCCTCCTTCTTCCTCCAGACACGGTTAGTGGAACTAGGACCAAAAAGTTCTATTTTAGGTCTCATCTAAACACAATACTTTCTCCCATGACTCCTCTGGATCACCCAAATGGTCATTAGCAAACTTAGGACGGGCCTTGACATGTGTTGGTTTAAGCAGGCGAACCTTTCTAGCCATATATGATTTCAAACCATGATGTCTTAATGTATTACCAACAGTAACCTAGGAAACGGTGGTCCCAGCTCTTCATGTAATTGACCAGCTACTCCCGTGTAGTTCTGGGCTGATTACTCACCTTTCCTAGGATCATTGAGAGCCCATGAGGTGAGATCTTGCCTGGAGCCCCAGTCCGAGGGAGCTTGATATTCATGTTTAGCTTCCTCCATGTTCTAATGATTGATCCAACAGTGGACCTTTTTCCACCAAGCTGCTTGGCATTTTCCCTGTAGCCCTTTCCAGCCTTGTGGAGGTGAACAATTTTGTCTCTAGTGTCTTTGGAAAGCTCTTTGGTCTTGGCCATGTTTATAGCTGGATTTCTTACTGACTGAATGGAGTGGACAGGTGTCTTTATGCAGCTAACAACCTCAAACAGGTGCATCTAATTTAGGATAATAAATGGAGTGGAGGTGGGCATTTTGAAGGCAGACTAACAGGCCTTTGAGGGTCAGAATTCTAGCTGATAGACAGCTGTTCAAATACTTATTTGTAGCTGTATCATACAGCTAAATATTTAAAAAAAAATCATATATTGTGATTCCTGGATTTGTTTTTTTGTTTTTAGTGGGAGAACTTAAAATAGCAGGGTATTCAAATACTTATTTCCCTCACTGTGTATATATATGATCCAGACTGGGACATGACCTGTCCTCCACTAAGGTGTTGTAAACACAAATGTATCTCGCTGATTTGGCCGGAAAGTAAACATTTTAAAACACTATGGTGATTCTGTAAATTACGTTTTTTTCTTTATACAGAAAACACCAAGAAAGGGAAGGAGAGCTTATAAAAAAAAAGAGGGGTTAAAATAAGATGGATTTAAAAATTATATCTGTATTCCCAATAATTCTGCTTCTCATTGTTGAGAAGATATATAGTTTATTTAAAAAGGCAATTTTTATTTTGTAATTCCTCCTTTGAAGTTTTGAGAATGGCAATGTCCAGATTATACGCATAAACTCTAACAATAAAAAGATAATTTAAAAAAAAGTTGAGTAACTGAGGGTACAAAAAGTGCATGTAAACACCAAAGACAGCTGATCAGTGCAGGTCAGATAAAATGCTCTATACAATAAGCTCATAAATATTAAAGGTACGGTAATATTGAGATCATTTGCATAGTTATGTAGAAATTCTGGACAGCATCAGACATACATGTTTGTTTTTCCTGTTAATCATACAAAAGGAAATTGATCTCGTTATACACTTTTATGTATTTGTGCAAGTACCATTAACCTATGAATAGAAACAACACCTCTGTGTGATCTAAAGTATCAGAGGATCCGGATGAATCTACCCATCCGTTCATTTTCTATACCTCTTATCCGTCAGTGTCTAAATCGATACCATTAAAATGTTGATATAATTTATAACAATAAAGTATTCCATTTATCCTGTCTGTAGTTTAATCAGATTATGTTTGGCCTTTACATGACTGTAAAACTTTGTACCATTCTACTTTGTTTCTCAGAAGTTAAATTTAGGTAAAATTTTGAAATCAAATCCCCCAAAAAATGTGGGTCAAGGAAAATAAAACATCCATCTGTGGTTCCTGGCTAGCTGTATGGAACCGGGGAAGCACTACGGACATCTAAAGTAGTCCATGATGATACAGTTTTCCTCTACGTTCATCTGCCAATGAAGACTACATTAGATGAAATGATAGCTGGATGTCTTGATTCTCTTTACCTCCATCGCTCTGCCTCCTGTGAAAAAAAACAGCTTCTCTCATGTGGCCTAGGCAACAAGCTTTTCCATAGGACTGTTGCCAGGGTAACATAGAGGCAGTGCAGGGCAGCATGAAGAGAAAGGGAAATAAAAGATTAAGAAAGAATAGAGGAGAATCAAACAGCAGTGGAAAAGTAGGAATACTGACATTGTCATGGTGCAAATTTTTAATAAGAGATTCTAATCTGGACACAAATTATATCTATTTAATGAAGTTGTGATATTTTATAGTATAGCTTGGACGATAAGAACCTAACATCATTTACTACGTGGCATTTACAGGTTAGTAAACACTTTGGACGTTTGCTTTAGACCCTCCCCTGAGAATCTCTAAGGTCAACGGTATTATGAGAAAAAGAATTCCAATGTCCTTCCAATTCATCAACATTAGGATGTTATCAGTATTTTCTTTCATTTATCATAATGTTATCGTGGCATGTGTAAGCTTTTTTTTTGTTTCTCTTGTACCTGACTGGCGTCTTTGTTACAGACGGCCTGGTTCACAAAGCAGGTTTACTGAAAACTCTTAAGTTTTCTAAACCTGAAGTCAGAGAAACTCAGTTTTCTGTTTCACAAAGAGGGTTTACTCTATCTATTCTTCTCAGAGCTAACCTGATTCAGTGCATGTTTTCCTTAAACTCAGTGTTTCCTGTCTCTTCCCTCCTTAAAGTCAATCATGTTGTCCTATTTCCTGATTTAGTCAGGAGGGTTTTTTTCGTAGTTCTGTGCAAACAGCATAAAGAAACTCAGTCACATCTGTGGGACACATTAGGTGTTAAAAATAAAAACATAGCATGTCCTTTTGAAGAGGATTCCTATTCAGAATTGTATCTTCATGAGTGCTACTTTTAAACTCACAATTGTTCACATGCATCCACGGCCTTTTCTGTCCTCACATTTGCAGCATTACACAGACTTCTTTGAGAAGTATTTGTAAGAGCAAGACATCGGTGAGAGCCCAATGATGTGTGATAACAGCATTATAAAAAACAACTGCAGTCAAATAGCCACATAGTATTTACTGTGCAATGGAAGATAGAATCAAAATGAGGAGGAACCCCATGACATGATGAACAGGTCCTAGCTGTTTGAACATCCTTATTCCACCTAAATGGAATAAATTAATCTTTTATCATTCAACAAGTAAACTAGTTTCCTCTTGATGGCAGGCTGTTTTTATATTTACCTAAAATGTGTAAAAAATTCTAGGTGTATGAAACTTTATTCTGTGTTCAGTTTTGGTTTTGGACCTTCTGAAATTCAGTTTCTTCCGCAAAAATGGAATTTAGGAAATCTTACATTACAGTTCCGTCGAGTAATGTGATTTTTACTAGGAAGAATCCTATTGATTTAAGCTAGAAATTGACTAACTGATAGGATAGTTCATTTAACATACCCGGTATATAAAAACAGCCTGCCATACAGGACTACATGTAAACTTATAAACCTCTTTCCCTTCTTTTTGTTAACTTACAAATATGCTATCTTACAAGTCAAGTGCTCCAAACCGTACAACAAATTTGGAAAGCAAGATCAAACTATTTGTTTTATTTGTGATGTTGTCATATTTTTTAAATGATAAAAACTACCTTCATCCACATAGGTAACCTGTTGGTGATAGCTTTTGTCAGCTACTTTGGAGCCAAACTTCATAGGCCAAAGATAATAGCTATGGGATGCCTATTGATGTCTTTTGGCACCTTCATCATCGCTCTGCCGCACTTTATCATCGGACGGTAAGTGAAAAGTTTTTCACTCTGTGTCAGATGTGGATTTAGAGTCTAGTTTTTTTCTGTTATTTGTGTCATTTTTTTTAGTTTTTTACAAACTTTTTTGTCAGGTCAAAAAATTTTATCTTTGGCGTGTTGGTTTACAAAGTAGTATGAGTCATATGATGAGCTCGGAATTATTAAGCTCTTAGTAGATCAAGTTTACATGGTCATATTTAGCATTTCTATTACTTTAAACAGTCCTTTTTAAATGTAATTATTCACCGTTAATTGTGATTTATTTAGTACAGTAAACAAAAAAAGCCCTTGAAAACTATTTTTTTCTTCCAAATTAAACAAGTAAATGAGAGATCGATTGAAACAAACTGATTTAAAAAATGTCAGGCTTGCTCGTGATTATCAAAAAAAAAAAAGTTTTTGCATTCATGCAAATTTTAACTGTATCTCCTCTTATATAAGTGTTGCTTTAGCAAAATGTGAAGCTCATAATTTGGAAAAGATCAAAATTACCATTATGCCCAAAGTTATTCAAAACCCCTGTCAGATTTAAATTATAATTTCTTTTTATTTAACCACTGAAAAAAAAAGATACAATTCTCCCGGTGACCATGTAAGGATAATTAGGTCATAATGAAGGCCGGGGTGAAAAAAGTGTATTTTTGATAGAAAATCTCCAATGCGATAGTTAAATAATATAAAAGCATAATAATAATAATAATAATAAAAATCTTTCTTTACAGTATATCTATCTGTAATCAGTAAAAGAATATTCATTGGCAATATGTAAATCAAACCCATTTTATAACCGACCATGTTTTTGGTATTTTATGGGTATTTTGACTAATTATCTATGCAATGGTGATGAACTCCAGGTTTTTATGTTTGGCAGACCTCCTTGCAATCAGTCTACTCTTTAGATTTAGATTCTCTGTTGGATTAAAGGTTGGAATCTGGCCCAATCACTCCAACAGTTAATATTTCCTGTGTAAAGAAACACATGTTGGTCAAATTAAATAGTAATAAAAAAAGGACCATCAGAATTAATATTTTTGGACCTAACATTGTATATGTCAATGTTTGTGCTCTTGATTTGCTTATATCTGTATGCACAGCTATGAGTTTGAAACATCTGTACGGTGGATGGTGAATTCAACACAGAGCTCATCGCCCTGTCGGGGAGATGTACCGCAAGACCTGTCACAACCTGCTAGATCACCTCCAGTGCCATCAACAGGTGGGTTTTCACAATGCAAGGTGAAAACACACAGGTGCTGTATTATGAATGAGATCTCTCCAACTCATTCCTTCCAGGCTGTGAAGGGGAGTCCAACTTATCGATGTGGATATATGTCCTCCTGGGGAATGTCTTGCGGGGGATTGGAGAGACACCCGTTCAGCCCCTGGGCATTTCCTACATAGATGATTTTGCTACAGAGGAGAATGCTGCATTTTATGTCGGTGAGAAAAGCCTTCGCCTACAGAAAGATGAATGATAAACCTCAGGAACCATTAGTTTATGTCTATAAGACAAAAACTTCACAATGGTGATGGAGAACACAAATAACATTTTCACTGCATTTCATGTGTTTCTATACTATCTTTAATGTGAGCTGACATCTGTAAAGCACTAATGGTTATGTGCAAATCTGCTACCTATATGTAACACTTTTTTAAAGGTGGTCTTTAGCAGCTTTCTCGGAAATAATTTTTTTTTTCTAAATCTCCTCCTTGATGCATTTCTGCCTGAATCAGCAGCAAAACTCTAGTCAGTGATAAATTAGCATTTGATATCTTAATAAATTAATCAAATGCTGTTATTAATTCAATTCAATTTTCAATTCAGTTTATTTATATAGCCTCAATTCACAACACGTCATCTCAAGGCACTTTGGAATTCAACCAGATCATACAGTTAAATTGATTCAAAGTTTTCTATCTAAAAGCAGTTGATTGCATCGACTCATTGACTCGAAGGCAATCCCAAACAACAAGCATGCTTGTAGCGACAGTGGAGAGGAAAACTCCCTTTTAACAGGTAGAAACCTCCAGCAGAACCAGGCTCAGTGTGAGCGGTGTGTATGCTATTACAACATATTTATTTTTCTATTGATTTTAAATACATAAAAACACCAATAGATGTAAACATATCTGTAAATGGATTTTGTGACATTAAGGGAACCCAAGTGAAACACTATATATGCCAGATATTTAGCCAGTTCAGCCATCCATTTCCTCTCCATTATTAACCTAAAAAAACATCTGGTTCTTAGGTCAAACCTCTATGTAACCCCAAAAAAAGGGAACTATCTTACATTCAGTTTAAGATACAAACAAGAAGTGCAGCAGTTTTATCTCCCCTCAGCTTGTATTCAGTTGATACAAAGGCATAGCAATGTTTTCACACCCTTATCTTTATTAGGTCGATTATTAACACATTCATGTTAGTAATTTTTATGATGTAAGTGAAAAAACAAGCGCTTTGATCACTTGAACGATGGGTGTTCACCATCTACACCCAAATGAAACGCCCACACCATTAAAATAAAATACATACTGTTTTTGATCATCAAAATCAATGGTTGAATATTACGTACTTATTGGACCAAAAACAATGTTCCAATGCTTCATAATTATCTGTAATTATGCATTGGTAGATACTAATTTTTTTAAAAAGGCAATCTTTTAAAAATCCTTAAAAGTGGGACACCTTTAAGAGAGAACAATGTTTTCTTTACAGCAGCACTTCAGCTCACAAACACACCAAGCTTGCAGAAAGCTCTGTTGCCACATGCAACAGTGTTGTTTTTGTTTTATTTCCAGGAATACGCACAGAGTGATAAATCACGTTGTTGTGTGTTCCACAGCAGCAGATTATGTGTACTGCTGAAAAAGAACATCCTGAGTCAGTAGACGTTTTGCCCACAAATTAGGATTTGACAAAAGGGTTTAACCTTATTGTACATGTTCAGTAAGCCTCTATGTGTAATCTGTAATCACACAGTCCTATTCCACTCAATTTTTAATGTTCATTATGATTCTGAGGAGGTGTTTTACATTTTGTTTTATTACCCAGGCTGTGTGCAGACCATCTCCGTTGTCGGGCCGGTGTTTGGATACCTGTTAGGCTCCCTTTGCGCCAAGATCTATGTGGATATCGGGTTTGTGAAGATGGGTAAGCATACAGTAAGCACATTATGTTGGGGCAAAATATTTGTGGACGGTCTCTTATCTAAAATTATCAGAGGTTGACGCATGTGAGATATAGTGCCTCTAATAATATGTGTACCTTTTAAAATTTTTTACCCTTGTAGACAAAATCATGGAATCTTCTTTGATAAACCAGTACAAAGTGCATAACTACTTGTGGTAGAAAGGTGATTCTTTTCCTTTTGAGTATTTCATACGTGTGATAGTTTGCATATGTTTTCATCCCCTCTCAGAGTATACACTCACCGGTCACTTTATTAGGTACCCCATGCTAGTAACGGGTTGGACCCCCTTTTGCCTTCAGAACTGCCTCAATTCTTCGTGGCATAGATTCAACAAGGTGCTGGAAGCATTCCTCAGGGACTTTGGTCCATATTGACATGATGGCATCACACAGTTGCCGCAGATTTGTCTGCTGCACATCCATGATGCGAATCTCCCGTTCCACCACATCCCAAAGATGCTCTATTGGATTGAGATCTGGTGACTGTGGAGGCCATTTGAGTACAGTGAACTCATTGTCATGTTCAAGAAACCAGTCTGAGATGATTCCAGCTTTATGACATGGCGCATTATCCTGCTGAAAGTAGCCATCAGAAGTTGGGTACATTGTGGTCATAAAGGGATGGACATGGTCAGCAACAATACTCAGGTTGGCTGTGGCGTTGCAATGATGCTCAATTGGTACCAAGGGGCCCAAAGAGTGCCAAGAAAATATTCCCCACACCATGACACCACCACCACCAGCCTGAACCGTTGATACAAGGCAGGATGGATTCATGCTTTCATGTTGTAGACACCAAATTCTGACCCTACCATCCGAATGTCGCAGCAGAAATCGAGACTCATCAGACCAGGCAACGTTTTTCCAATCTTCTATTGTCCAATTTCGATGAGCTTGTGCAAATTGTAGCCTCAGTTTCCTGTTCTTAGCTGAAAGGAGTGGCACCCGGTGTGGTCTTCTGCTGCTGTAGCACATCTGCCTCAAAGTTCGACGTACTGTGCGTTCAGAGATGCTCTTCTGCCCACCTTGGTTGTAACGGGTGGTTATTTGAGTCACTGTTGCCCTTCTATCAGCTCGAACCAGTCTGGCCATTCTCCTCTGACCTCTGGCATCAACAAGGCATTTCCGCCCACAGAACTGCCGCTCACTGGATGTTTTTTCTTTTTCGGACCATTCTCTGTAAACCCTAGAGATGGTTGTGCGTGAAAATCCCAGTAGATCAGCAGTTTCTGAAATACTCAGACCAGCCCTTCTGGCACCAACAATCATGCCACGTTCAAAGTCACTCAAATCACCTTTCTTCCCCACACTGATGCTCGGTTTGAACTGCAGGAGATTGTCTTGACCATGTCTACATGCCTAAATGCACTGAGTTGCCGCCATGTGATTGGCTGCTTAGAAATTAAGTGTTAACGAGCAGTTGGACAGGTGTACCTAATAAAGTGGCCGGTGAGTGTAGATTGTACCTTCTATATAGGGCTGTAACAATTAATTAGATTAATTGTGATTATTTGATTATTGACATAATTAACAAAATTATTAATCAGCTAATTGTCAACTGTAGTATAGAGACTCTAAAACATGCCTTTAGCTGAAAGAGGAATGTACTTAGAGCACAAAATTTACCAAAATTGAAAAAAAAATTATAAAATAATATTATATATATGTCAATATGCTCTATGCTCAGAACTTTTAGTTTCACCCGGTTTGATTCTGCAAATAATCTTCGATTATCAATCGAGTAATTGAAAGAAATAATGAACAGATTAATCGATTATTTAAATAATTGGTAGTTGCAGCCCTACCTGTGTATAATGATTTCTCACTATAAGCACAGCGGATCTGCTGGATTTGTTAGAGACATTAGTGAACAAACAGCAGCACAAAATGTGCGGCGGGGGTGCGAGTGTTAAGTTCGCAACCATGTACAGAGGCTTTGGTCCTTGATGTGGCTGCCTCAGGTGTGAGTCCTGGTCTGGTGACCTTTGGTCCCCTCTCTAATCCTATTTCCTGTCTGCCTACTTTCAAAAATAACAAAATAAAGGCCACAAGTGCCTTAAAATTACAAGTGCCTTAAAAAGCAGCACAAAGACCAAGGAACACAACAGACAAGTCAAGGAGAAACTTTAAATCAAGGCTAATGTCTCTCATCACTCAATCCATTATCTAAACATTAAAAAAGGGTTTGGCATTTCTTGTTAAGAATATTTTTCATGATAGGAATTTGGATTTCTGCATGGAGTTTGCATGTTCTCTCCATGCATGTGTGGGTTTTCTATGGATTTATCCCACTTTTCAATAACGTGACTGCTACGTTAATTGGCATCTCTAAATTGCCCTTAGGTGCGAATGTTAAGTGTGGGGGCACTTTCCTTTTTGCAGAAGATGGATGAACTGTGTGTGTTTGGGGACTTTTTTGTAAAATTTTCTCCACAGAGGGTTTCTTAAGAGCATGAATAGATTCAATAGTATGATTTGAAGATAATTTAATTCAAGGTAGTTTCTGTGTGAATCCTAGTGACAAAAATTAAAATTCTTTATGCAGCTGGTGTCTTTAAAAAGGTCAAGGTTTGAATGTTTTCATCATCACTTTTATTTGTTAATATGAGATTTCTTTTCAGGAGAGGCAGAATTGTGTTTTATTATATTAAAAGGCCTGTTGAGACCGTCTTAAGGATCAAACCCTTTTAAAACCCTTGTTTATATCAGTAAACTCCTCAGAAAATGGAAAGTTAGGAAACTGTATGTATATGTTGTTCCCTATACAGAGGTTTGGTGAGAAAATGTTTTTAAAGTAGTTAGAACAGCTAACCATGGCTCCTTGTTAATGGTCAAATGTTTCCTGGTTAAAGAAAAAAAAGACCTTTCATTCATAAAACCATTACACACCTTTATCAGATTTAGCCACAGGTGGAAGGTGCACAATTCAAAAATTAGAACAGGTGTGTAGGATCAATGTCGGTTAGCTGATGAAGGAGGCCAGCTGAAGGACAAAGCTCTCTGACAGACAACAATCAAATAGAGTGCATGGAGGGGGGGGACAGGTGCAACCAAGGTAGGAAGAAAGATTCTTTCTGAACCCACCTGTTCAGGGTCTTGAAACACAAGCAGATAAAGTCACTGATCAACATTTTAAACTGTGTCAATTTAAAAAAAAAGAATAATTCACCTTTTTTGTACAGTTTTAAAAAGGTGTTTAAAATAAAAGGCTTTTAAAATTATTTAAATAAGTGGGGAAACAACTTTTAGTGAAATAGATTTACCACTCACAGTGCTTATAGGGTTATCATGCACTCAGTGTTTGGAATGAACTATCAAGTGCAAATCTTTCAGAAGCCTTTGTTTACCATTATATTTTAGCTTACTAAAAATTCAGACTCTTAGTTGATCTTTGTTGCAACTTTTGATTAATTTTATGCATTGGGAGCTTTCATGGCAACAGTTCAAACTCAAACAAATGTATCAGTGAGAAGCTTTACACAGTGGTGACAGAATCCTTGTAGAATAGAAAAGTATGGTTATTACTACGACTCATAATAACTCAATAAATACCTCCTTTTTAATTATTAATACTTAGACTTTTAAATTTAATTTTCATTTATTTATTAATTTACCTTGGTTTGTAGCAGTTTTAGATTCTTGTGTATAATGAACTAAAAATTAAGAAAATAATATATAAAGATTTATATATAAATATATATAAATATATATATATTTTTTGAGAAGAACGTTCATTGTTTTTATAATTGTTTTAAATAATTACCATCATCACTTTGTTTCTATGAACTTATGGTCCTTTACAGTCACTCCCAAACTGCCAGTAGTACACATAAGCAGCTTTAAATAAGGTGAAACAAACCTGTCTGTTGTATCTGGAACCTATGTAAAACACCTGCAGCATCCCCACTAACTTTTTTTTTGCATGCATGCATAATTTAACATTCATTGTGATTTTTGAAAGACACATTTGCGTGTATAAAAACATGAGTAAACCTTACAGCATGTGCAAAGCTAATTTTACTAAGCAGGGGCAAATCAAATTTCAGGTGTAACAGCAGATATGTGGAGGATATGCAAATGTTATCCTTCCACCTGCATAGTGTTTTATCAAACCTGAAATAGATTGCAGCTGAAGTGTTTGCATCTATATTTAGCATGAAAAATAAGGTACAAACTTGCTTGCAAAAAATGTCTGACGTGTCCACTAAGGAGGCACCGGTTTATTTATTGACAATGGAGAGAAAGTCTTTTTCCTGGCGTTACACTGTCACAAGTACAGCACAACGAAATTCACTCTCTGCATTTAACATGATTATGGGTCCCCTTATGGATGGGTGGGCTGGCATTTGTGGTGCTAGGGGAGCAGTGTGGGGTCAAGGGTCTATTGCTAAAAGTGGCAGTCTGTGGGAGTGGGTTTCAAACTTACAACCTCATGATTCCAAGCTCTATGCCCTAACCACAAGGCCACCGCTCCCCCTTCATGCACGTGAACCTTTTGGATTGTCAGAAATAATAGTAAAAAACTCCAAGTAGATGATTAATACTGCCTTTTCTCAATCAGAGTCCAGACTCTGATTGGCAACTTAAATGCTGTGATGGGAATTAAGAAAGAATATTTACCATAAACTCTTGACCATTTTAAATAGAATTTGGAAAATAGTGTGAAAGACTGATTAAAATAATACAGAAAATGTGTACTGGAAGATTTTGCTGCTGTTGTTTTTCGGCATATGGTCAATTAGAGCATAATGAGTGTAAAATCATTGCTTTTTCTGTTTTCTGGAGGTTAGGCTGCACAAAAATTAAAACTGTATAAAGGATCCTCTTTGTATGAAGGTGTGAGATGTGAAGAGTTCAGCAGGGTTTAGAGTTGTTTAACAAAAGATTTAAATGCAGTACATGTTAGTCTCCGTATTCATATCCCTTACCAGTATGTTTCCTAATATACTAAGCTACTTTTTTGTTATTTTACTTCAGTGTTACATATCTTTCCCCTTGTGTTTCCTCAACACAGAGACCATCACCATCACACCTGCAGACGCCCGATGGGTGGGAGCCTGGTGGCTGGGCTACCTTATAGCTGGGGTCATAACTTTACTCTCTGCCATCCCGTTTTGGTTTCTACCTCGATCTCTACCTACAGCTGGTTCAAGGGTCCCAAAGAAGGGCACTCAGGAGGAAGCAAGTTTCATCAAGGAAGCCCCTCTTCCTAAACACAAGTATCAAGCAGAGGAACACACTACTTTTATAGAAATGGCTAAAGGTGATGATAGACAAATAGTTTTGCTGTTAAACTCTTCCAACCAGCTATATTCCACTGCTGTTGCTGCTGTATAATATACACTTTGTGCAACAATGGGATCTGCTTCTTTTCAGACTTTATTCCCACCCTGCGGACTCTACTGGGACACCCTGTGTATGTGATTTACCTGTATGTGGTGGTGATCCAGTTGAACTCTCTCATTGGCATGGTCACATACAAGCCTAAATACATCGAGCAGCATTTCAGACAGTCTGCTTCCAAGGCGAACTTTCTTATGGGTATGTTGCATGTTTTGGAAATGGTAAAATCTGCCTAACAGCTTTTATTGGATTACTGCCTGGAAACTGAACCGAAGAGGAGTGTTTATCTGTAACAGAGGCTCAAATTGACACATTTTCTGTTGGTCACTTTTAATAAGTGTTTTATATATAAATATATATTATTGTTATCCTTTTACGGTTGCATAGCAGGAAGCTAAATCCTGGTACCTTTCCTGACTTTTTTCCACATTTCCTGTTTAAAACTTTTATTTTTGTTAGACTGTAAATATGTGCGGTTTCATTGCATAGCTGTTTACATGTAGTGTAGCTTATTCTTGACTTGTAAATATTGATGCACATATGCATCAATCATCTTTCCAATTTTGTAGAATGACCAAGAGAAAAGGTGAGTAAAATATGCGCAAACTAAATAAGATTGTATTTTTCACATTAACATGGTGTTGTATTGTGCTACCGTTTGAAATTATATATATTTTATGAGGCTTTTATGCTTTATGCATGGGTGCTTTACTAGCATAATTAGCTTGTTGAGTTCAACTAAAATCGGTTTACTTGTGATGTTTTTATGAGCACAGGTTATTTGCATTTCTTTCTAACTTATTTTTTAAAATCTTTTATAAAAGAGACAGATACTACATTTTTAGGATGCTTTTAAAGAGATGGATCCTCTTTATTTTACACCCATATTATCCATCCCCAATATTTCCTCTGACTGGAAGTCATGTTAATTCTTTGTACTGCCCAGCCATAGTCATGACATAATAGCGAATCTATGGAGGGAACAAAATCAGGATGATCACAGAAATTGAAACTCAAAACCAATCATAAAGTGTCAGAACCCTGTGAAATATGCAGAAGCTAGTCGGCAATCATAAAAAAGTGTTTTGCTTTAAGGCCAATTATGCTTTTAATTCTTAATCGATTATTGATAAGTTGTAAAGAAAAATCTCAGAAAAATATTTTTTAAATGTAAATGTGTCGGGAGTTATGAATTATTTTAGCCTTGGCTGTATTTTCTAATTCGATCTAAAGCAGCTGCCATGACAACAACGGCTGCTGTGTTGTGAAAATGAGAACTGGTATGCACATGAAATAAAATAGGTAATGAAGTTCAGAGAGTAAAATGAGAAAATCTGGGCTCATCTGGTCTTGTTAAGGGAGATGACTACGCTCACTGAGCTGGATGCATATGAAAGAGAATGCAAAATCAGTGACCAGAGTTAATGGCGTGAACAGATCAAAGACGGTCTCTTTGCCCGAATGTTAAATAGAAATACCAGCGCATAAAATAAAAAGAATATTTTTCTCCACAGCTACTCGTGTAGTCATAGTTACGAAGGAAATTGCAATCTTGTGCTTACTTCTGTCAGAAGTTATGGTTAAGCTTTTAAGAGCTATTAATCTGTGATTATTTTCAGGAGTGATCAACATCCCTGCTGTGGCCCTGGGGATGTTTTCTGGTGGTCTGCTGATGAAAAGGCTTAAACTGAACATTATGGGAGCAGCAAAGTTTGCTTTTTGCACCTCCTTGATCGGATATGTTCTGTCGATGTTCTTTTTCGCAATGAGCTGCGAGAACGCCAAAGTAGCCGGAGTGACGGTGTCGTACGACAAGTAAGTTTCAACTAATGACATCAACACAGATTCTGTGCTTCTAGAGGTGATATAGGTCAGTTATTACAGTGAAATTGAGAGCTTTGTTTTGATTACATCTGGTTTGAGTCTGTTTTAGACTTATTTACACAAGCAAATCAACATATTAGCAGCCAGAGAGGTAAATGATTAAACTTTGGACATTTTTTATCCTAAAAATGTGTTTTGTTTTAATGGGTTCAATAAGGAAGTTCTTACTCACAAGAAATATTTTTATTTCCAGTTTGCAGTAGCATCTTTAAAATTGCCTCTCTGTGATTCACTTTGTTTCTGCTCTCTCTTTCAGTGTAGACACTGTAAGTTATGACAAACACTCACTTTTCATGCCCTGCAACTCAGATTGCGTTTGTTCATCGAGTGAGTGGGACCCGGTGTGTGGGCGGAATGGCATCACATATGTCTCTCCATGTCTCGCTGGCTGCACCACTTCTACAGGCTCAGGGAAAGACACGGTGAGTTTTTAAACTCCATATGTTAAAACATATGTAGAGCAACGTTTAAGAAGATTCAGGCCCCGTCCACACGAAGTCAAAACGAACACGAAACGCTGATATTTTCCAAAACGTTTGCTTTAAAGACGGAGACGTAAAATAAATGTGAGCGTCCACACGAATGCATGAAAACGCTGCAAAATGTATGCCAGGCCTGTAAGTGGCGCTGTGGTGCCAAAGCAAAAATAAGCGTCGAAA